CCAGTGTGGCGTCCGGAGGTGCCTGGTGTGCCTTGGTTCGCCGATTTGTTCGTCGGTTCTTCCCCTCCCCCAGCCCTGCCGGGCGGTCCCCCCTTCGAGGAGTCCCCTGAGGGCTCGGTTGCGTCGGCGGATTCGATCGTTACGGCAGTGATGGAGACTGCGTGTGGTCCGGAGCTTCCCCCCAGCTTCTGTTGGACGGGGCATCGGGCCTTGTCGGTGCCGCCTATGGTGCGGCGAGCGTTGAGCTCCCCTCCGGATGGTCGGGGTGATGTTGTGGGGATTTCGGTCTCTATGGCGGACTTCCTGGCGTTGAGGGTACCAGGACAGCAGGCTAGGAAGCGGGCACTGGTGGAGGAGGCGATAGTGCAGGAGGATGAGGAACTGGTGCCGGCGTGTCCTGGTGACAACTCTGGTGGTAAGAGGCGTCGGTGTCGACAGCGGGCGCAGAGGGACCGGGGTCTGTGAGGCCTTGGTGTGGGGAGTTTTTACTGTCGGGGATTTACTTTGTTGGGATTGCGGGACGGTATTCAGGCCGGATTTGATATTTTTTATTTTTTTTATTTTTTGTGACAGTCGCGGGCCGTAACTACCTTCCCCTCGCTTGTTGTGGCCAAGGACTTCGGTCGCTCTGTCCATGTCGGGTTGGGTGTCGGTTTGTCGGTTGGGGCGGGTGTGATCAGGGCTGTTGATGGACTTGTACCTAGCTTTCGTGTTGGCTCGCTCGCGGAGGTGTTATTGGTTTGGGTTTGGAGGTTTCTGGTCTTGTTTATAGTTGTTGGCTGCCCCGGTGTATCGTGGGGACCCCGGCCCCAGGCAGTTGCTTTCGAGCGCTGTTCCGGTCCGCTTGTGGTCCGCCGGAGGCTCGCCTGCCCTTATGGTAGGTGTACGATAGGATGATCGCTTGACCATAAGCCATGTTTTGGCGCGGCGAGTATAAATAAAATTAGATTCGGACATCCTTTCTTACGTGCCAGGGAATTATCTTATCCACCACGATACCTTCTCTTTGACCCGACCAGGGTTAAAGTTTCTCCTCATCACTATCATCATAGAGTCTTCTCCTCCTCTCGTTCCGCAACCTCCTACTCAGCCTGACGGGGCTTCACAGAGTGGGCAGGGTCGCTTACCACCTATCTTCCGGCCTCAGGGCCCCCCCTCGCTTAAACGCCCACGCAGCGGCACTACCACCTCCCTAAACTGATACACAAAAGATGACTTCGAAGGCCCTTACGGTGCCTTCATGAGCATGTTTGAACAGCTGGCAGAGGAACAGAGAGTTGAAGCACCGTTCAGTTTTGCAAAAGCCTTTCCCATTATGATCCATATGATGCAAATCTTGCACCAAGACTACAGGAAAGCGACCGATGGGCTAACCGAGCACATCACTGCCCTTACTGAGGAACTAGACACCCTTCGTGGCTACGCTTTTTCTCAGCCTGCTCCCACCACTGCCCCGCCGGCACCCCCTACCACCAACACTACAGAGCAACCCTCTGTCCCTCCTCCACCTCCTACCCTTTCCTACGCCCAACCTCCTGGTCCGGCAGTCCCTCCTTCTTGGGCTACCGTAGCTAGGAGGGCAAGGAAGCCCTCCCAGAAACCTGCAAAGCCTGGCCCTAAGCCAGCCAAATCCTCCTCTACCTCAGCTAAACCCCTTACCGAAAAAAAGAAGGGCCTCACCATGCGCGAGCA